CTGCAACCTCTGCCTCCCAGGTTCAAGCAATTCTCGTGCCTCAGCCTCCTGAGTAGCTGGAATTACAGGAGCCCGCCACCATGCCCGGCTCATTTTTGTATTTTTAGTAGAGACAGGGTTTTACCATATTGGCCACGCTGGTCTTGAATTCCTGACCTCAAGTGATCCGTCCGCCTGGCCTCCCAAAGTGCTGGGATTACAGGCGTGAGCCACCGTGCCTGGCCACTGGGGATATTTTATGTCATGTATGTTCCCTTGCCCTGGGCCTGCCCCGTTTCCTGCCTAGGAAAGAGGTATGACTCCCAGAGGAGCAAAGAATCCTGTGGGCTTCCAGTTCCCTCCACCATCTCTACCACGCTGACCTATTTGGGGCGCAGCACTGAGACAGAGACAAGACCAGTAGCTCCAATGTGTGGTCTAGGCTGGCAGAGAGCAGATGCCCCCGCAGCCTACTCCCCTTGCCCATGGCTCATGTCAGTAATCAACCTATGTACCTTTTCCACTGAACCTGGACAGGGCCTCGGGCCTCAGCACAGAACTGCAGACAGCCACCACCAGGCATTGTCAACGAGACCTCAGTTCCTGCTCCTGCCCCACTGCAGAGCAATCCATTCCATCCAGAGCAGGGTGACTGGCGGTCTCTGGCCGGGCATGGGGCAAGGGTGGGGACTGCCAGTGTTTGCTTGTGTCTACGAGTTACGAACAAGCTGGCCACCAAAATTGGCGTCACCTTGGGTGCCCACCAGCGCTGTCCTGTCTTGGGCCTGTGAGTCAAAGAAAAGGTCCCTGTCCCAGGGAGTGACAGGCAGTAATTAGGCTGAGTTGGGTGGGGAGGTTTGTCTCAGCCTCTGTTGTTCCCGGAAACCGCTGTTCTCCTTGGAGCAGCCACTGGGAGTTGGAGTGTTTATTTGATTTCTGACTTGCTAAGCCTGTAATTTACCTGCTGGAATAGACAGAGTCCAGCTGCCCAAACCGTGTCATTAAAAGCAGATCCTGGGTCCGCCCCATCCACAGGCACAGCCCGGCAGGGTGGCTCCACCTCCCCATGTGCCCAAGGATGCGCCTCTCTGGAGTTCACATGCTGCACCCCCAGGGAGGGGCCTGGGGAGAGCTGGTCTGGCAGCAGGGGTGGAGCCTGGGGCCACGCTGCGGGAGAGGAGCCCCTCCACCTGGACCAGGGAGGTCCTCCGCGTGCAAGCGCAGAGGAAGAGACCTTCCCATGTACATAAAGGGTGGGCCCAGGCTGTCTGGAAGATGGTGAGTTCCCCATTAGTCTAGGACTTCAAGCTCAGCTAGCAGGGATTGGAAGAGGCAATGGCCTGAGTGTCAGGAGACAGGTATTCTAGTTCCAACTCAGGCACTGACTTGGTGTTCCCTTTCTTATTCACGCTTCAGTTTCTCACCTGCGACATGAGGACATAGGACTCTTTCATTCCAGAGGCTCTTCTAACCCAGAGAACCCGTCTGCCCCCATGACCTTCTCCCAAAGCTTGAGACATGGCCTGAGTCCCCAGCTGCCATAGGACTTGGGGCCTATCTGCCATTGCAGGCCCTGATTTAACAGCTCTCTTCTTCCAATACTGGGCAGTAGAGTTTTTGAAACTGACAAATGTGGCCGGGCGCGGTGGCTCACGCCT